TCAGACAATCCACTCACCTCAGCCTCCCAAAGGCGCGGGATTACAGGCTGAGCCAACGAGCCCAGCTTCATATTCTTAATGACCTCCATTTCTCCATTAAAGTGCTTTTTATTATTGTTCTTAAAAACTATTAATTTAGGTACTTGCTGTAATTAATCACAGAATTAAATACTGTGATTCCTACACACCAGAAGTGAAAAGATGTTTCCTGTTGCAGAGACCTGTGTCTTTTGAAGTTTTGCTGTGAAATAACTTTCTCTTCCCCTTTTGGCTAGCCTCTCCCAACCCCAGAGTCAGTACCCAGCACTTGGTGCCTTTATTGCCCTCTGTCTTTTATGTGGTCCCAGAATATTTAGCTTCTTTGTGGCAGTCCCCAAGGGAAGCGAGGCGGGTGGCCTGGCAACGTGATGGATGTGGGAGAGGAGACCTCAAGCATCTTGACTGTCCCAGGGTGCTGGGAGACTGATGTCTGTTATCCTGATCACTTAACACTCCCCCACACAGACCACGCCTTCTGGAACTTAGAAAACCCGAAGTAGATCTTAAAAATTGACCACAAAGCCGGGCTTGGTGGCTCAACCTATAATCCTGCGCTTTGGGAGGCTGAGGTGAGTGGATTACCTGAGCCCGCGGGTTCAAGACCCGCCTGGGCAACTTGGTAAGACCTCATCTCTACAATAAATCAAAAATTAGCCGGGTGTGGTAGTGCACACCTGTAGTTCCAGCTACTGGAAGGCTGAGGCGGAAGGATTGCCGGAGCCCAGCAGGTTGAGGCTGCGGTGACCGGGAGCAGCCACTGCACTCCAGTCTCCGGGACAGAGTGAGACTCCAACTCACACACACACAAAAAAATTGACCACAAAAGGTGAGGGATGGATATCTAGCCAGGCAGATGGATATCTAACTATATTAAGGGAAAAAAAGCAGGGGAAATAAGCAGAAATGTTATAGAGACAAGTGAGGGACTCAGCTGAAAAATCAACTTCCTTAAGGTAAAAACTAACATACATCTGTCAGACATCTGACCCTGGAAATAAGGAGAACCAGCATGGGCACATCCTTGCCTGAAGACAAAAGTTAAAAAAGATGCCTCCTGAATGTTCTCCTGTGCCCCCCAAACACATACACATGCACGCACACACATGCACACACATCATCAAGAAAGATAATACATTGAGCCTTCTAATTTACACAGTGCCCATCTGGGATCAAGACTTGATTTAACTGAAAATAGGTCACCCTATTTTCATTGCACTGAAGATTGTCCTCGAATTGAGTCCTCAGGAACAATGCAAATTCAGTTGCAGGTGAATGATAATAGGTTCGTTTTTAAAAATTAACAATACCCAGTGTCTCACACCTGTAATCCCAGCACTTTGGGAGTCCAGGGCAAGAGGATTACCTGCACCCAGGGGTTGGAGAGCAGCCTGGGCAATTTGGCGAGACCTAGTCTCTACAACAAATCAAAAGATTAGCCAGGCGTGGTGGCGAGCACCTGTAGTTCCAGCTACTTGGAAAGCTGAGGCGGAAGCATCGCCTGAGCCCAGGAGGTCGAGGCTGCGGTAGCTGTGAGCCTGCCACTGCACTCCAGCCTGGGCGACAGAATGAGACTCCGACTCAAAAAATATATATATTTATTTT